GAGATATTGACAGCCAAGTGTCGCTTTTTATAAAATTGAATACCTAACGAGAAAGAAAGGCTATCTTCGGCACGCCGAAGATCTAATACCCTTGCAGACCCAACCTTCTCATAGTGCTTTGCCCGTATCTAAGAAGCACAGGGAAAACAGCTAATGCTTTATGTCAAGTTTGGTCAAGATATCTTGATAAACAAAAAAGGTTTTTAATAAAAAATCTAGTTTTCGACCGATCGTTTCTATGGCAGCTATATGATATAGTGTATCGATCTTAATAGGTTTTTAAATGCCGAGTTTGGTCAAGATATCTTGTAAATCAAAATATTTATCCATACAACAACTTAATTTTCGACCGATCGTTCCTATTTCAGCTATATGATATAGTGGTCCGATCCAGCTGGTTTTGACATATGTGCTTCGTACAACAGAAAGAGGGACTGTTGTACAGTTTCATAAAGATAGCTTTAAAACTGAGGGACTAGTTCGCATGGAAACAGACAGACGGACATACGGACATGGCTATATCGACTCGGCTGTTGATGCTGATCAAGAATATGTATACTTTATGGGATCGGAGATGTCTCCTTCTATACGTTACACATTTCACGACAAAATTATAATACCCTCTGCTAAGGTATAAAAACCACGTCTAAAAATCGATATTTGTTATTAATATACAAATTAAAGAAGAGGAACAGATGGACGTGGCTAGATTGACTCAGCCCGACTGCCTCTTCATATTTATGTATAAACTCTATGAACAAAAGCAAAATACTCTCTTATCCCAGCATCAATAGGTTAGAACCACCAACTTTACTTTCAGTAGTAACCATATATAATATGAGAGCATTTTTTGCTTGCTTTCTTATGCGTCAAATTCTTGTTAACATTTTACAATGTATTTCAGCTTCGGCTTTGCGTACATCCAAAAGCTCCTTCTGGGTCTTTTCATATTTGATTGTTGTGCACTTTTTGACTTAGCTGCCAAAGCAACAGCCGCCGCCGCTAAATGTAATTATCTAAAAGTTTTTACTAGTTGTGGGCAAAATATAAAAATAAACTTATAAAAAGGCAGCTTGAAGACGGCTAAAGGAAATTTGTAAAAATAAAAATGAAAATAAAGCCAAAAGCAGCAGGCGCGCTGCGCGTCAGCCACAGGCGTCTCTTGGCGGCTTTTGTGGCTTGTTTCTATTTGTCTGGCAGCCGCTAAAAAGTCGAAAATTAAATTTGTTTCAACTGCAGACTTTGCCCAGGCTTGCTTGCGAGAGGGTGGCGCATAAAAAGACGCCGGAAGCTGATTTTCCACTAGCCAAAAAAAAAAAAATAACTGAAAAGCGGCTGCGCCTGACGGCGAATTCATATTTTTCTCCTGTCTTCCGTTACTTTGGCGCGTCGCCATTTTGCGCCGAATCAAATTCAAAATGGGGAAAAAAATAAAAAGTTGTCAGGCCATTTATAACAGTTTAGTGCCGATTTTTGAGCCTGCTAATCGCATGGAAATGACTGAGACGTGCCACGGACCCAGCCCCGCCCCCAAAAAGAATAAAACGTATGTTTTATTTTATTGTTTTGCCCCAAAACGTCAAAAATGTGAGACGAGAACAATAAACATTTACAGCCAAATTTGTCAGGAAAACCGCCCGAATTGATGGCTCTTCATGCCTAATTTTTCCCATTTCACAATGTGAAACGATGTGAATGAAACGTGACACATTTATTAATCAAATGTCATCTTTAAACAGGCTTTTAAAATGGATTAATTCCATGTGTCTTTTAGCTTATAAAATGGAATAGGAAATATATTGGGTATCACATTCAGATGTGTGTGCTACAAAATGGTGGAACCGTCGGAATGGTACATTACACTTTAGCGTAGCGGCTCTTTTATAAATAATATTTCAAGCATATCAAAAAAGGTATTTTAGAATTTACAAAATCAAGTGAAACACTAAAATTTGAACATAAAAAGCTTACGTCTGTTAAGATTACTCCACTTGACCTGAGACGACTGTAGAAAATTCTAGATATAACATGAGCTTGACCAAACTGACACGATGAATAGCTTAATTTGTGTGGAACAATGGAAACGAAACAAAAAAGCTGATACCTAAAGCCGTAGAGAGATATGCACAGATGCATCTGATATAGAATTGTAAATGTAAATAGATTTATATAGTAAATATCGCGATATAAAAAATGCATATCAAGTAAATAAATTGCGAGATAACAAAAATGAAATTGAAATGAATATTTTGTGCAATTTATTTTCACTGGAATTTAAATATTCATGCGTATGCCAGCAACAACGTATATAGAATTGTATATATGCTGCATGTGTACATAGTTATGGGCTTCAATTCTCCAGAGGCACACACACACACACACACACACACATACGTATGAAATTGATGTGTGTGTGTGCATATTTAAGAGGCGCACCATCTAAAACGGAAGCCGTTGAAATGCTGCTGCCTGAAAATCTTTACATTTTATTTTTGTTTCCTTCTCTTTCCTCTTTTTTTTGGGTAAAAAAAAAATACCCCAACTCGAAGCTCGCTTTCAAGGCTCGTTGCGGCTCCAGAGCCGCTTCGAGCATCATTTTTAAATATTTTATAACAATTTGTGTGAAAAGTAAATAGCAAAAGCCCCAAACCTCTTTCAAATTTCCTGCTTTCCTAGCTGGAAAAGCTATTAGCGTTGAATTGTGTGCTGATTGAAATTGAAAGGCAGCTGTTGTTTGAACAGGTTTGCCTGAGTTTAAAAGCCGAGCACTGGCCCGAGTTAAATGATGTGTGCCAAAATCACTTGAAATATTTATGAATACCATAGCATGCGAAAAATATTATATCAAAAGAGACGAATTTCTATTGTGCGCTATTTATAAATTGATTTACAAATCTATTGACAATTTAAGGCAAAAAGACGTTCAATCAAATTGATACTCGCTTGGGATAAACCAAATATCAACATATGCCTAAGTCATTATTCTGTAGCATACGCAAATAAGGAAAATAAATAAACAAAAATGAAAACTGGCAATTGCTACTGGATTTTAACCGGTAATCTTTCGCTTGCTAGTTAAATGCTCACAACTGTACTCTCTTTTTTCCCGCTTTTAGCTGAACTTCATCCCAAAAGTATGCAACAATTTTTTGTTGCCCTGCACGAAATTCACTTAGCCATTGGCAATTTGCCTGTGCGTGGAAATCAGCAACACCTGACTTAACCATGGTTACATTCAGAGGTTAAAGTAAGCTCTCTCAAGGGTTGTCTTTTCTCTCCCCCCCTCTCGCCATGGGGGAGGTAGCTTGCAAATCCCGTTAGCAACCGCCCAAAAATACTTGTTATCGCTTATGTTGTCTCTTACGGTCTGCTGGATTTTCGAACACACACAATTTTTGGACCCAACGATGCGTTGCCTAACAATATGTACGAGGGTGGGTTGTGGAGGGGTTGTGTAAAAAGCAAAAAAAAAGGAAATGTGTTTCTAATTCTCTGGCTGCAATCACTTTCGCTTAATGCTTAATGCTCTCTGCCTTGATTTGGGTTCGAGAGCTCAGGTTTTCCATCTCAAACTAAATGTTTGTAATTTGGCAATAGTTCTTTTTCTTAGTATGGCTTAGACCGGCAGGAAATATGGGAGAATCAAGCAAAGTCCTCAATAAAATTTACCAATATTTACTTTACAAAATGACAGTTCCACTTAAATCTACTCCTAAGGGCGAACATAGAGTGGAGGAAAGGACCGGCCCAGGCTTAAATCCCCTGTCAATTTTGCTACTTAATAAAATATGAGTGCCAAAGTGGAAGATACAAACAGGCCAAGCCAGGCCATGACTCGGGCACAGCAGAAACAACAAACAAGGCGCAGGAGGAACTAGGGAGGGGACAACAGGGGCAAGGACGTGCCACTAATGGCTGCCAAACTCAAGTGCCGCCGATTCGGCTTGCCAAAGGGATAAAGAAATAAATAGAAAATGCAAATAGATGGCAAGACATTTGGCAGAGGACCTGCGTCTCAAGCCAGACGAAAACTTTTTCCATGTCCTGCGGGACTGATTGTGGGACAGCTCTTCTCGCCTGCTGCTGCTCTTGCTACTGCCATTTTTGCCACTCAAGGACATGCGTTGGCCATAAACTGTTGATTTTTATGTAAGTTCGTGACGCGACAGTGGCCAACAGGATCTTGTGTGACCCTCCCGCACTCTTCTGCTCTCCTTCTCTCGCCCAGCTCGCTCAGGTGTGTGGCCCCAAAGAGCTTTTGTCTACCTCATCGCGCTCTGCCCGCTGTTGCCCCCGCTTTGACATGTGTCAAAGTTTGTGCTGTGACTGTAATTTTGGCTAGCGCTAGGTCCAAGGTCACTCACGCACTGCCGACCCCTTGCTCCCGCACCCTCTCCCACCTGCTTTGATATATTGCGAAACAGGTTTTGTGGCTATGGCATTAGTCTTTAAATTATAGCGCCGCTCCCACATCCGCCCTGCTGTTTATAAAGCAATATCAATAGTTTTATGTTCTTCTACCCCATATGCGTGTGCGTGTGCTAAGCGTGCATTTTACGACTTACTGCATATGTACATACATATTGAGCGCCTGCTGATATGCTACAGTTTCTTATTGTCGCCACACATTATATTATGGTATAAGTCTGTTGTTTTTCTATGTGTTTGCCAATTCTACTTTGTGTCGCTTTTGTAAACGTTTAACCTTAAGAACATCATTTGATTTGCGCACCAGCTCTTGAGAAAGCTACCTACTTGATGCTCTCTCTCTCTGTCTCTCTCATTCACTTTAAGCGCTCTCTTGCATTACCTGTCTTAAAGGCGGATTTGTTTTTGCAATTATGTTATGTGTCGCATTCGTAAACATTTCTTTCGAAAACATTGTTTGTTATTAAAACTATTAATTTAATTCATTTATTTACCATACCTTTTTGCTTTAATAAGATAATCTGATTTATTGAAATCTTTTTTAATTTTGATTTTCCTCTATCTATTTTTAGGTAAGTGACGACGTGCTTTCGCTTGCTTTGAGTCAGAATCAAGTAAGATACTTTTTATTTTCCATTTGTCCTTAACTTTAATTTAAAAGTATTTATTGGTTAATACTCACTTATCTGTAGTCTAACACCATTGGGGCTCAACGTGCACATCCTTGTCTGGCTTCATAAATCAATCAGAGCGTGCGTTGCGTATGGCTTCTGTTTGATATGGTGACGCTGAAGGCGGGAAGGCGGGAAAGTGGGGAGAGGGCTGCTGCTATGAGGGGAGCATCGAATTTGTTGTTGCTCCCGTCGAATGTTGCAACAACATTTCCGGCGCAAAGCAGTTAATTTGTCAAATGTCTGCACTTTATCACCATATCGTCAGACGTGGCAACCCTTCCCCCCTCCCATGCGGCTAGTGCCGGAAAACGCATTACGCACTCAGGCATTTTGGGGCTCGCCTCTGTGAAATTTTGAAGCGATGCGCAATCAGAGCACTGATGCGATTCCCACAGGAACGAAATAGAGGGAAGAGACAAGTCAGAGGCTCATCCGCATTGTCAGGGAGATTTAGAGAGAGGGAGAAAAGGAAAGAGTGCGGAAGCGAGATAGAGAGAGAGAGAGAGAGAGAGAAGGGAGCTGCTAGAAAAACTCACTGGGAAAGCAATTTAAAGTTGCATCCATAACAGAAGCAACAGCAACAACAGTATAAAGCCTTTGGCCTGCAGGGAAATCTGTCCGGGCTAATGTTGTCCTGGCTCTAGTCCCTGCTGTCTGGCACACTCCGCCCACCCAAAGAGATGCTGCACCCGAAATCGTAATTAGAAAAGTGCTTTCATGATAACTCACTTTTTGAGTTGTGGCAACCCTGCCACTGCCATCTACATCCCCCGGCCCGCTTTTGGCTCGAACATTTAATAACTTTGAAAATCAGCTATTAAATGGAAAAGCGAATGGTCACTCTCCATCAAATTACCCAATTTATTTACATGGTCACACTAATTGCCAGGATAATTGAGAGCTAAGCGCCGGCAGTGTGAGACTGGGTGCTGCCGAGTTGGCCAGTTGCCTACTGACAATATGTTGCAATGCTTGAAACAAAATATTTGCATCATTGGCAACATTTTTGCATGCAAAAAATGTCATCAAAATGCCATTACGGACGCCGAAGTGGCGGATAGAGTGGACCAATAGATGCCTAAAATATATTCATGTTATGGAGAGTTCGGGCTTGGGATTTGAATAAAAAAAATGCAATTTGTTTAGCTGCCCCACAATATGTAAATCATTAGAGTTGAAAGCGGATGCCAGTCCAATGGAAAGGAAGGAAAGCAACAAAAAAATCTTTCTCGAGACAACAGCTAGGGTAGTCAAAAGCACAAGTGAAAATTTATTAAGGGATCAGGGAATAAAGCAGAATACCGGCCGTGTTTTAACCAATTATGACATTCTCAACTTTAAAGTTTAGTAGAATTAGGTGAATGAATCCGGAATGAATAAAGGAGTTTGAGGCGATTGATTGACAAAAGAGTCGACCCCAAAGTGGCGTGGCGTCATCTAAGGCGGGTGAACGTCGAACTGGCAAACGAGGAGGCGCCAGTTCAAATCAAATTCTTGATTTTTATATTTTTCATTTAATGTGTTGTTATGAACACGGACTCCCTGTTATTATACCCTGAACCCATTAAAAATGGGTATAAGGGTATATTGTATTTGTGCAAAATCCAAATGTATGGAACAGGCAGAAGGAAGCATCTCCGATCCCATAAAGTATATATATTCTTGATCAGAACCAATAGCCTAGTCCATCTAGCCATGTCCGTCTGTCTGTCCGTCCGTCCGTCCGTCCGTCCGTATGTATGAACGCAAGAATCACAGAACCTATAAGAGCTAGAGACTTGAAATTTTAGATGTAGATGCTCCTAGTTCCCGCGCAGATCGAGTTTGTTTCCGATAATCGATAACTTACTCCGTTTCCAAGCAATCGAAAAAAATCGATATCCTGATTTTTGGGCAATTTTGGTAAATAATAAGAGCTAGTCCCCAAACTTGACATATAGCTTCTAAAATAGAATATATATATGCATTTGATGTTGGAAGAAGAGGGTTCAGGGTATCCCATAGTCGGAAGCTCCCGACTAGAACCTCTTACTTGTTTCTATAATAAAGAAAGAGTAAACGAACATAAAGAAAGAGAAACCCAACATTACAATTTAACTTTTTAAACCGAATCCATTTGAGATTAGATTTTCTGTCAAACCCCAACCCGAGCCCACTTCATGGAGTCAAAAGCTTAGCTATAACAGAACGGAAATTAATAAAATTGAAAGAAAAGTTAAATTGTTGCCGCCCTGCAGCTAATGCCGGGGGCCAATTATACGCACGCATCGCGTGCCTTGGCAACCCTCGAAAGAGACTACAACTCTATTGTAGAAATAAACTCGTATTGCCACAATGTGCAACAGCCTGCGCATAATTTCTCTATGTTGCTGCAACCCAAAATTAAAGCAGACAGGCCGATGCGGACATGAAATCAACGCCTTATAAAAGGTCGGACACCAGCTTGACCAGGGTTGTCGCCCACCAATGCCACAAGCCTTACGGTTCTACGCGTTGTTCATGTTGTATACATTTCGGTCGCTGTGCGGTCCTCACTGGGCGCAGCCCCAGTAACGAACGGCAGCTAAAATGATGGCGACGACGACGACACAAACAACGACAACAAATGCAACAACCACCAACAGCAAGAGGAACAGCGACAACCCATGCAAAAACAGAGGAAGCGCAGCGAAATGGGATTGCATATGGGGGGGCATTAGGCCTCGCTTTGGGAGTTGGGCAGTTGGGGTGTAGGGTATGTGGCTGGTCGGGTTGCTAAAGGGGCGCCACCAACAACGTCATTAACAACAGTCTCCGACTCGCCAGCAGCTCTAATGACAACCGCACGTCATCAGTGTTGCCGTCATTGTTGTTGTTGCTGTTCCTGCTGCTGCTGTAGCTGCTGTCAACGCCCACATTTGACACGCCCAGACAGCCAAGCACATGCATTATAAACATGCATGCATCCAAAGCGATAGACACTAGTCCCACAGTGGTGCAAGGGAAATTGAAACCGACTTGAAAGCAGTTGAGTAAATACAAACGTAAAATAAGACAAAAGAAATGTATACAAAAAAAGTTATAAATTTAGTCAAGTGGGAAATTAAGTTGAGAAGATTAGAGGATCAAAACTCTTCAAGACTGTAGCCCCAATGTAATGCATTTGCAACTTTTAATTAAAAGGGAAATAGTGCAGAATAAAAGAAAAACTATATAGAAAGTGTCAGATTCAGAAGGTTAATATTTACTTCCTAATATGCTACCAAAAATTATTTCAAGCCTCTATATTATTTTTTTAATTTTTTATTTACTTAATGCTAAAACAATATTTTAAAAGTTTTAAAATAAATGCAAAAAATATTATTATAAATTAAATATTTAGCAATTTCGAACATTTGAGTGTCAAACAATACACATTGTACCACTGTGCTATGGTGTACGATGTATGTGCTTTGAAGAATTTCAGTTGTAGCCGACCGACGTTGGTTTTAGCTGTTGTTGTTGTTGTGGTTGTTGTTGTTGTTAGATGCCCATGTATCATTGGCATACACATTTTTTTAGTCACATTTTGGTTGGGATATTCCTTTTGTCATCACAATAACAGGCAACGCAGGACGTTTGGTTTGATGCCCCTCACAGAGTATGTCCGCCTCTCCCATTAGGGTTGTGGCCACGCTCTCTCCCTCCCTTGCTCTCTGGCTTCTGCTGAAATCTCCAGCTGCGTTGCATTTGTATTATCGCATCTAATGATTGTCATCATTAAACAATGTTGCTCGTTAGTTTTGCAACGCGACCAAAATTCAACGCATTTTGGTAGCACTTTTTGGAGGCAAACAAAAGAGGCAACAGACTAGGGGGGAGGGGACGGATGGTGAGGTGGGGGTTGGGGCGTTAGATTTGGCTATGTCGCCATTGTTAACCTATTGACGCTTTTATTGCGTTTACTGCATTAGAGCTCGGCCCGAACAGAAATAAGCCAACCAACAAGAAGCCAACACATTTTCCTGCTACTGCTATGTACGCATGTGTGTATCTATGCATGTGTGTGTGTGTCTGTGCGTGTGTATTGTCATTAAATGCGATTTCATTTTTAGCTTGGGCCATTTTAATTTGTTGCCAATTGGCATGCAAATGCTGGCAATACTAAGAACAACAACAATAGCCAGGAAAATTGCATTTGAAATGCGTTGGGAAAATTTGTTGGTGTTCCTGCTGCAGCGTTAGATATTCTCATTTTATTGGTGAGTGCGTGTGTGCATGTGTGTGTGCAAGAATTTTTACGACTAATTTGCCTAATTTGTCAGCACATTTAATTTGCATATCCCAAAAAAACAGCTAAAAATCATAGCATACGTTTTGGGGCTGCGATAAATAAGAAGCAAAAGAAAGCCTGAAATTATAAAAATTTCAACGGGCAATTCGTATTTAAACTATTGCTATAAACCAATTTCATTTGGCTTTTGAAACCTAAGACGTAACAAATCACGAATTTCTGCAAAACCTATTGCAAAGGAATCTAAGATTCCACGTGGAGTTCATATTAATTTTCATTAGAATGTTTTACGAGCTGACGCACAAAACCCGCAGCGATTCGAAATATGTGCCAAAGCGCACTCTAGCTGGAAAAGTCCAATGGGAAATTATGAAATTCTTAGAACAACGAGAAAAATAGCAAGGTAAAAAAAATGAATAGCGAAAAGAAAAAAGGAAGAAAGCGGAAAAACGCTTGAAATAAAGGAAATGCTTACCGAAAGCTCCAGGACACACATAATGCCACTTAATTAGCGCAATGCAGCAACAACAACAACAGCAGCAAGATGGGGATAATAACAACAACAATAAGATGGGGATAATAACAACAACAACACAATGAACAACAATAACATGGAACACATGCTTTTAATGCACATGAAGCCCAGGGACTCAACGCGAAATCGCCGTATATCAGGAAGAAGAGAAGA